GGTTATTGCCACCAGGAACGCCACCTTGTCCGAGAGGTAGAGCACGTCGCCAAGGGCTCAAATAGCGGTCCCATGAGACGGGACAGGACCACGTTGAGGTCCCAGGCCAGGACAGGCTGACGGATGTGAGGGTATAGCCTGTCGAGCCCTTTTAAAAAACGGCTAACCATGGTGTTAGCAAACACCGAGCGGCCCTCCTGGCCCGCGTAAGTAATTAAGGACCTGCTAAGCTGCTTGCCAAAGCAAGAGCAAGGGGAAGTCCCAGCTACCGTCACTGGCGGTAAGAAGGAACTGAGGGGGTGGTGGGTCGGCAGGGCTCTCTATTGAGTGCCACGAGGGCGCGACTAGGCCGACCTGATGGATGCTGCTACGGGAAAGGGCGTGCACACCTGATTGGAATGGACATGAACAAGCACTCGAAGAAGCAGCATTTTCTTCCAAGTCGTCAGTGACTCGGAAACAGGTAATGACATCTCTGGGACTGCTGCGATCATCTAATCTGACCTCCTGTACGACACAGAGCAAAGGCCATTGGACTTCCCTGAATTAAGTCCTGTTTGAACTAGAGCAGATCTCAATCCATTTTGATTTAACAATTGCCAGTGCTGGAGAATCCACCATATCCCTTGGTAAATTGCTCCAATGGTTAAATTATCCTCACTGTTAAAAATCTGCATGTCATTTCTAGTCTGAATTTGTCTAGCTTCAACTTCCAGGCATTGGATCTTGTTACACCTTTGCCTCCTAGACCGAAGAGCCCTCTATTATAAAAGGGTTGGTGTTTATTAACTATGATCAAGTCATCCCATCATGGAACCGCAAGATCGGTGTTACACCCCCAATTTCTAGGAGGAAGCCCTTCAATGTGCCAGACCCAAGGGGTCTCACTCTCCCTTCAGGTCAGGTCACGCGGTGTGTCTGCCTCCTGAGACTGAAGCTCTGAGAGTTGCTGAACAGAGCTCACGGTGTGAAGCAGCAAGTGCCACTGAGACAGACTCCTGGCAGAGAACATGCCCTCTGCAGGGATCAATGCACCGCACGAATATTTATGGTGACACTCAAGCTGCGTTTTCAAAACAGTTGGGTTTATTAGCCATCTGGCACACACCACAGGAAGCCCTTAGCTCAGCACAGAGAAATACAAAACACAGGCGATCCTGGTCAGCCCAGAGCCCAGCCAAGCCGTAGCGACTCCAGTTTCCTGCTCAGTCTGACCTCCTTGACCAGTTCCCAGGTGAGAGAGCTCCCAGCCTTCTTCCAGAGCTCACACTTACCGCCCAGCTCACACTGCCCAGCCTTTTGTTCTCAAGCAGGGGCTCTTGCTCAGCATCCCTGCTGAGAGGCAGGGAAATCCAGGAGTCACTGGCGCTTGCATTGTCTCTCTGGTCTCCTGTTGCTCTGGGTTGGTTTTATTCCATCACTGCTACAAGCCTGAACCAAGAACTTTGCCATTACTTAATGACCGTGAATTCCACCCAGACAGGGAGGTGAAACACACACACCTGTCTCTTAGTCTGGCCTGAGAGCAAACTTAATCCTTTCCCTCCACCCACTGGGTAGCCATGCAACATACAGGGGAAACTGAGGCACACATAGGCCTCATAAAAACACTACAGAAAATTCCCATTTTCTCACAACCCCTTAACTGCTGTTTATCAAGCCAAACAGATTGAGATCCTGAGCGCTCTCTCTAGAAGACAGGACTCCCAATCCTGCAGTAATTCTAGTGGATCTTCTTGAATTGTGGACACCAGAACCGGACACAATATTTGAGTGGCAGTCGCACCAGTGACAGATGCAGGTTACAAAACCTCTTACTCTTACATGGGATTCTCCTGTTTCTACGTCCAAGGAGCACATCAGCCCTTCTGGCCACAGCATTGCAATGGGAGCTCATGCTCAGCTGATTATCCACCAGGCAGAATCAGTTCTGGGTCTGGTTCTGTTCAGTGTCTCCATCAACGATTTAGATAATGGCATAGAGAGTACACTTATAAAGTTTGCGGCTGAAACCAAGCTGGGAGGGGTTGCCACGGTTTTGGAGGACAGGATTAAAATTCAAACTGATTTGAACAAACTGGAGAAATGATCTGAAGTAAATAGGATGAAATTCAATAAGGACAAATACAAAGTACTCCCCTTAGGAAGGAACAATCAGTTGCACACTTACAAAATGGGAAATGACGGCCTAGGAAGGAGTACTGCGGAAAGGGATCTGGGGGTCATAGTGGATCACAAGCTAAACAGTGTAACACTGTTGCAAAAAAAGCGAACATCATTCTGGGATGTATTAGCAGGAGTGTTGTAAGCAAGACACGAGAAGTAATTCTTCCGCTCTACTCCGCGCTGATTAGGCCCCAACTAGAGTAGTGTGTCCAGTTCCGGGCGCCACATTTCAGGAAGGATGTGGACAAATTGGAGAAAGTCCAGAGAAGAGCAACAAAAATGATTAAAGGTCTAGAAAACATGACCTATGAGGGAAGATGAAAAAATTGGATTTGTTTGGTCTGGAGAAGAAAAGACAGAGGGGATAAAGACTGAGAGGGGATATGATAACAGTTTTCAAGTACATAAAAGGTTGTTACAAGGAGGAGGGAGAAAAATTGTTCTTCTTAACAGCTCAGGATAGGACAAGAAGCAATGGGCTTAAATTGCAGCAAAGGAGTTTTAGATTGGACAGTAGGAAAAACTTCCTAACTGTCAGGGTGGTTAAACACTGGAATAAATTGCCTAGGGAGGTTGTGGGATCTCTACCATGGGAGATTTTTAAGAGCAGGTTGGACAAACACCTGTCAGGGATGATCTAGATAATACTTGGTCCTGCCATGAGTGCAGGGGACTGGACCAGATGGCTTCTCACGGTCCCTTTCAATCCTACCATTTAATATTTCTATGTCCCCTCCAACTTTTTCTCAGAGTCACAGCTAGTATCCTATCTTGTGCTTTATCTATTAGAACATTGATCCATGAGCATTTAAGATCATTTTCTTTCTAGCTGTCAGTGATTTGGGAACAGGTAAAGCCATTTTTGATATTATCACCCCACCCTCTCTTTATTGGTCCCGTTGATTTTAACATCCCACCAAGTTGCTGTAACACCAACTAGATCAAATTCATGCTCACGAATGACCAATTCCAATTCTTTTTACTTGTTCCCAGGCTCCCAATATTAGCATATAGGCAATTCAATCCTTTCTTCTCTTCGCGTCCTTTGCTCTCTACATTATCATCTGCTGAGTGGTCAGATCTTCCCTCTTTTTACCCTCCCCCCTTCTAGTATTGGTTTAAAACCCTCCTGACTCCCAAAAAGGAGCAGCAGTCTTCCTTAAAGAGCTGGAGATCTTTGTGAGCACACTGGATTTTCTTGCTGGTTGGGCTGGGCAGTCATCCACAGGTGTGCCCTGTACTCCTCACCATTCCCGTCACCGAGCTAGACTCTCACAGATCTCTTCAGCAGTAACCCTCCTGATCCCCACAACCTGCCCATGCTCCTCTGGCTCCGCCTGTGCAGAACGCCACTCTGACCTCTTGCCTCAGGTGAATAGATTATTTAATTGTCCCTTCTGGACCTGAATCTATGAATCTGCCCTTACTCCCCTCACTCTCAGTGCATATACTACGGCAGCGCCCCCAGCCTGCCTGGCGTGCTCTGCTGTCTGGTTGCCATCTCCAGCTCAGTGCAGGCTCCTCCATGCGAATACCAGGCAGACTGTGGGACGGCAGAGAGACCATTCCCATTGCCCCGCGCTCCGACAGAGACCGACCGTGAGAAGGGACATAGGTGCTCCCACCCCATCACCCTGCTCCTCACTTCGGCGGCTGGAGGGTGAAGGGGCTGCAGCTCAGGACCCCACTGCACCAGGAGGGCAGGCTGCGGGGCTCCTGCGTGCAGTGGGGCTCAAAGAGCTGTGCCTGCACAGAGAGAGGAAAGGGCACAGGACACGAAGACCCAGCTTCCCCAGCCCCCTTCTTTAACACGCTGCCTCCAGAGGAAGGCCAAGCCTGCCAAGGCGGGTCGAGGAAGGGGAGCCATTGCTGAACCCCGGGGCTCAAACACCAAGTCAGCGTTGGTGTATCCCGAACGCCGCCTGCCGGCTCTGAGGTGAAGGAGCACTTGGCACAGCAACCAGGGGCTGCGCCAGCTGGAACCCTCTCTTCCCACTGGGCACCAGGAGCAGACTGCGGGAGACATCGCCCCAGGGAGCTCCCAGAGCGAGGCGGTGGGGGATGCCAGCGGGGTGCAGACACTCTGTGAGCTGCTCTGAGCCAGTCCGGACGGCCCAGCCTGCCCTCCCTGGGGTGGGGGATCTCACAGGGCAAACTGGAAGGGCTGTTTCTGCTCTGGGGAAGTGTTTCCTCGGCCTCCCGCAGGGGAGTGGTGCCTGGATCAGGGAGCACTGGGGAGCAACTGCAGGGGCGAGGTGCAGAGACTGCTCCAGGCCTGAGCTGGCACGCCTGCCCCTGTGCACTAGCCTGGGCAGGGTCTGGGCAGCAGCCTTGGGAAGCCAGGGCACAGCCGCTCTCGGGGCCAGACGCGCTCTCTGTAGCCAGAGCACAGCCCTAGCCGGGGACTCTGGGGCGGAACAGGCTGCCGTGGGTCATCCTTGCCAGAGGCAGCCTGGGGCAGGGCACTCACAAGCCACAGCCCCTGGCAGGCCAGGAGCCAGCCCGCGCGCTCTGCTGTCAAAGAGAGTGGCTCAGCCCCCCGGCAATGCCAGCGGCACGCTCTCTTCGGGGCGCCACGTCAGAGAGGAAGGGATCGTCCCTGGCAGGCTACCAGGGATGTTACAGATGGATCCGTGGTCTCAGCACTCTTTTCAGTGCCTCCTCCCTGTCCCCGCAGGAGGCTAAAATAGAGCCCTCTCCTCTTGGGTACTTGCCTCCCTTTACAATAATGGCCGGACCCCTCCCACTCAGAGAGCCAGACACCCTCCCACAACCTGGGGCACCCACTGTGCACCCCCTGCAGCACGGGCAGAGCATGGTCCGCCGCTCCCTACCTGAGGCACAGGGACATCCTCCTCCTGCTGGCTAGGGCTCCCGCCAGGGGCCTCCTCGCTGCTTGGCCTCCTCCTGCAGGTCATGCGCTGGCTGTTCAGCTCCAGGATGCGGGTGGTAATGCCCTTGACGTGCAGCAGGTCATCCAGCGAGTTGAAGCCCTTCAGCTCCTGCCAGGGAACAAGCAGGACTCAGCATGGCGTTGGGCAGAGCTTGGGCAGCCCCACACCAGGGCAGACCCGGAGTCCCCCCCACCCCCGGGGCTCTCTGTCCCCCTCCCAGGAAGATACTTCCCAGCTGGAGCCCTCTCTCTGCGGGGTGCTCCCCCGAGATTCCCCTGCAGTCACCCTGATTACCCCCAGCTGGCACGGCTCAGCTCACACCTGGTCATCCATGGGCCCTGTGACATTACTGACACAAACTGGGACTATATAGATCATTGTTGCAACCAAGATCGTGTAATGGCGCCAAATCTTGTACAAAGGAGATCAAGTACGGTGCCTATGAGTTATGGTTTGCTGGTTATGATTATGCAATCTGTGTGCGTGTATCATTTTTGTATTTAAAGTTATAAGTATTGGCTCTAGACTGTCTGTAGTTCAAACTTGTGCTGTGCTTCTGGGTGACACCCCAGACAAGTTGGTGTCAGCTCTGCCTAGCCTGCTTGATGGCCCATTAAGGACCATCAGCTACAACTGACCCACTGAGAGAAGGCAGATACCCTTGTACTCAGCAAGGCAGGGACATGCCTATGGACAGAACTTGGAGGCTTTTCCATGCCATGTGCTGGAATGATTGTCTTTGGGACAAAGAAAGCAGAGGCCACATGGCAAGAGACTATAAAAAGCTGCTGCATCTCCTCCATCTTGTCTTCAATCCTGCTTCATACCTCTGGAGGAAATTTGCTACAAACTGAAGCTCTGAACAAAGGGCTGAATGACCCATCCCAGCTGTGGATGTTCCAGAGACTTGATTTGAACCTGCAGTTTATTCTATCGCTGCTACAAGCCTGAACCAAGAACTTTGCCATTACTGTATGTAATTGATTCCATTTAACCAATTCTAGCTCTCATCTCGATCTTTTTCCTTTTATGAATAAACCTTTAGATTTTAGATTCTAAAGGATTGGCAACAGCGTGATTTGTGGGTAAGATCTGACTGGTACACCTCTGGGAGAGGGGCCCTGAGCTGGGACTGTGGTGGGGATGTGGGCAAAGGAGGGGCTAAAACACCTGGGAAGAGGAATTTTGTCTCTCTATCTGACAAGCCCCTGACCCCACCCCAGACCTTCTGCCCCACATCTCTTGCCCCCTTACCCCTCCCACTCCCGGGGACAGAACCAACCCCTGCAAGGGAAGTGGAAAGAGTCCTCGGGCTGGCGCCCACACTGAGCCCTGCTGGGTACAAGCACCTTCCCCAGCCCCGCCCACGCTGAGCACAGCAGGCACCCAGCAGCAGAGAGGCCTAGACAGGGAGCTGAGGAGAGGGGATCCCCTGGGGGTCTGGGGAAGAAGGTGTCTACTTCGCAGATAGACAGAGACTTGCCCTGGGGAGGGGGGACACTCCCAGGATACAGGGGGACGCTCCCTGCCGGCTCGCCTCTAGGCAGCTGGTGGCTGGCAGGTGCCGTCCGGGTGCCCAGACAGGGCAGTTTGTAATCCAAGCATCTTTGAACACCCCCCACCCTCTTCAGGCTCAACTAAAGTGAGGGAGACAGGCCCAAGCTCTGACCCCAGGGCACACCCGTGCCTCACACAAACCCTCACGCCTGGCTCTCTGTGGGCTGCATGGCATGCCAGGAACACAGGTCTCCTGGAATCAGGACTGGGGCCACACTGCTTGCTGGGGGCCCCGCTCCCTGCACCCCATGCCACAGCCCTGCACCTGGCCGCACGGTAGGCTAGGCCTATGGTCTCTGTGGAGAGAGCACTGAGGGAGCAGGAGGCTGCTGCCCAGAACCTATCAGAGTCCCCATACGGCCCACCTTCCCCACCAAGTGTCCACAGGCAGGACAAACAGACTGACAGAGTGGGACTACAGGCCCCCGAGTCCTTCGTGGTACCCAATACCCTGAAGACGAGGGCACCATCTGCCCGAGGGCACTGTGGTGAGGAGCATGCTGCAAATTCCTTGTTCTGGTGTCACCAGGGTAGAAGGGTCCATGGCCTGCATGATCCCTTCCCTCCCCCTGTCCCCCCAGGCACAGAGTCAGGGGGCACAGACCCAGAGCCAGCACAAGCCAGCCCGGATTTATAAACTGCTCCCCCAGGGGCTTGCACTGAACAGAATCTGCCTTCAAGACTGGCTCTGCCAGGAACCAGCAGGGACTGGGCCAGGGGCTCCCTACGCTGACAGCCAGGCAAGCCCCCTCCATGGTAATCTATGCAGGCAACCTCCCACTCACTTGGCCTGTCCCAGGGCCGCTCAGCCACAGCAAATGGAGCCAGAGCTGCATGCCATGTGAGGCCCTGCCAGCCAGGGTGCACAGCCTGGCCCAGCACCACTCAGCCTCCCACACCCAGAGAGGGAGTCCTCTGCACTGCTCACCCACTGTGCCCTGGCCTGCAGGGACTTCCCACCCACGAGGCCACTGGCCAGGTAAGCTGTGCTAAGAGGCGTCCCTCGCTGTCCCCTCACACAGCCCAGACTCTGCTGTTCAGTGCCGAATACCACCTGTCACTGGTGCTGCCACCCCTCAGTGCCCCATGCTCTAGGGTACCGAGAGCGGAGATCCGGGGTCAGGAGGGACTGAAACAGGAAGGGTCCCTGCTAGAGGGACAATAAAGCCTGGCTCTTTGCCATTTCTTACGGCTGAGGGACATCAGCTGGGGTCTCCTGGTTACAGGGTCTGTCCCCACAAGAGTGGCTGGCCAGGATCCACCCAGGGGCCCATCCAATCATTTCTGTAACTCAGTTCTCACTTGGCTACAGGGTCTTTGATCCCTGCACCTTACAGCAGGCCCCCGGCAGCACCCAGGAACGAACCCCTCCTGCCATTCTGGGGGACCACGCCATAGCATTAGCCCCACCCCTATGCTCATTTGTTCTAAGGTCGGTTTCTTTTCAAACACACACAGCAGGCTGCAAAGCGAGGCCCAGGCACACCAGGGGTGTCAGTGGTAATGCTGCCCATGCAGCCAGAACTGCACCTGGTCACACATGGCCCCAGCTCTGCCCCCAGGCACACGTGCAGTCTAACAAGAGGACTGCACACTGATTTCAGTGGGACACCGCCTCTCTGTGGCCAGGCCGTATTTGCAGTGATGGCAGCATAAACCCACAGTAACTCAGGGGAGGCCATGGAGGGGGTCCCATGCGCAGGGGGGGAGGGATAGCTCAGTGGTTTGAGCATTGGCCTGCTAAACCCAGGGTTGTGAGTTCAATCCTTGAGGAGACCACTTAGGGATCTGGGGCAAAATCAGTACTTGGTCCTGCTAGTGAAGGCAGGGGGCTGGACTTGATGACCTTTCAAGGTCCCTTCCAGTTCTAGGAGATGGAATATCTCCATTAATTATTTATTTATTATATCCCAGTCAGGCACTGAAAGCCACCCCGCAAGGAGAGGTGAGAACTGTACTGAGCACCTGGCAATTCCTGGCAGAGCAGGCAGGGGCACCGGCAGCCTTCCCACCGTCACCAGGTACGTATATACACACTCTCCCCACACCCACAGCCAAACCACCACACCTGCCCCCAAGGCATGCCAGCCTCCCACCCCCTCACAGAGCCTTTCCCCGCCCCACTGGGGACACCAAACCCCACAGGGCAGCCCTGCTCACTTGCCTCCAATGACAGCTTCCCCACCTGTCCCAGTCGGTCCCTCTGCTCCCAACCTCAGCAGTCAGTATCATCCTTCAATCTCATTGGCTTCCCCCCACCCCCGCGAATACTCAGCCCCCCCCTCCCCAGCCTGCCTACCCACCCACCACCTTGCTGCTCTCTCCTGTGCATTCTCCACACCCTGCGCATCAGACCCAAGTCCCAGCACAGCCCACCTCCGGCCTGCCCCTCTGACTTTCGGAAGGGCCGTGTAGCCACAGTAGCTGTGGGAGGAAGAGAGGCAGAGCAGGCCCTCCACAGCGCCCAGGGAATGGCCGAGAGCTCTGGTGGACACTAAGGATGCTCAAGGGGCTGGGCGAGATGACCTCTCGAGGTCGATCCTGCCCTACATTTCTGGGAGTCTCTGAGAGGGGGATGAGCATGCAGCAGGGAGGGGAGCCTAAGGCCTTATCTGCACAGGAAAGTTTAAGCAGTTGCACCAGTGCAGATGATCTAGTTATACCAGTATAAACACCCATGGGGACACTCTATTCCAGTACAAAAGTGGCTTTATTCGGTTTACCTTGAACCACTTCCCATGTGACAAAATCAGTGTTGAAAACAGGCTCTCTTATACTGGAACAAGAGTGTCTACACAGGGGGTTAGACCGGTATAACTAGAGTAGTTTAAACCCGCACCTGAGCTCATATCCAAATTGTGCCATAGAATCCTTATGGAGAGTAATTCCTACTATAGCAGTAGGGATATATTACCGACCACCTGACCAGGATGGCGATAGTGACTGTGAAATGCTCAGGGAGATTAGAGAGGCTATAAAAATAAAAAACTCAATAATAATGGGGGATTTCAACTATCCCCATACTGACTGGGTACATGTTACCTCAGCACGGGATGCAGAGATAAAGTTCCTTGACACCTTAAACGGCTGCTTCTTGGAGCAGCTAGTCCTGGAACCCACCAGAGGAGAGGGAATTCTTGATTTAGTCCTAAGTGAAGCACAGGATCTGGTACAAGAGGTGAATATAGCTGAACCGCTTGGTAATAACGACCATCCCTGGGGACCGGGAAGGGGGAGGACACCAGAGAAGCCCACCACAGTTCAGAAAGGAAAACTACAGGACAGCGAGGAGGTTTGTGAAACGGAAATTGAAAGGTACAGCGTCAAAAGTGAAATCCCAAAAAAGAGCCACCGTGGCTAAACAAACTAAGAGAAGCAGTGAGAGGCAAAAGCATCCTTTAAAAAGTAGAAGTTAAATTCTAGTGAGGAAAATAGAAAAGAGCATAAACTCTGGCAAGTGAAGTATACAAATATAATTAGAACGGCCAAAAAAGAATTTGAGGAACAACTAGCCAAAGACTCAAAGAGTAACAGCAAACAATTTGTAAGTGCATCAGAAGCAGGAAGCTGCTAACAACCAGTGGGGCCCCTGGACGATGGAGGTGCTAAAGGGGGAACTCAAGGCCGATAACTAAGGCTACGGTTTGTCACAGGTACTTTTAGTAAAAGCCATGGATCGATCACGGGCAGTGAACAAAAATTTACGGCCTGGGACCTGTCCATGACTTGTACAATATACCC